GGAAAGTAGAGGCCCACATCTTTAAGCAGGTACAGGAAGCAGAGAGTGACTGGAAATCTGGCAAAGCTTAAGAATTCTCTAAGTCCCCAGTGACATGCCTCCTCCAGCATGGTCATGCCTCCTAAGACCTCCCAAAACAGCAACACCAACTGGAGACAAAATATCCAAATACTTGGAGCCTATAGGGGCATTCTCATTCAAACCACCACGCTAACTATTTCACTTGCCCATGGTGTGGATATTTTTCCTCTGCAATAACCTCCCTGTAGTTCTATTGAGAGCTATTTCTAGGGACTGGAGACATAGCTCAGAGGTTAAGAGTGTTTACTGCTGTTCCAGAGAACCTGAGTTCAGTTCTCAGCATCCATGGCAGATGGCTCAGAACCACCTGTAACTCCAACTCCAGAGGATCTGACAACTCTGGTGTCCAAGAGCAGCTGCACTCCTGTGCACACACCTCCACACAGACACACACACACACAAACATAATAAAAACAAAATGAATCTTTAAGAAAGAATGGTTGCTCACACAGATTCTTTTCCCTCAAGATCGGACATGTATTATATCCCCTGTAACCACCGTGGGTCTTCTGAGGTCTCAAATGATTGCACTTCTGAGGAGACAGTTTGGCTGTTTTTACAGCTCACTAATGTAGAACTAACTTTCTGAGATTCAGTAAGCCAACATGAGACAAATGACAGATTTTTCAAATATCTGAATAGCCAAATGGTGAAGGATATTTTATTTTATTTTATTAAAAGAAAATTATTACTGCTGCTCAGGCAAGTAATCATTCCCTCAGAGTTGCAGGACATGGTAGCATGTCTTTGAGGCCCATGTCCAGCAACAAATGGCAAATTAACATCCATAAAAATGGCCTGTCCTGACATCCCTTGGTTAGCAGAGTGCCCTCCCACCAGTCAGCACTCCTGCTCTCTCTCTCTCGCTCTCTCTCTCTCTCTCTCTCTCTCTCTGGTGGGGGGTATAGAAGGGGTGCACTCACCCTTGTGGGTGTGTGTGGAGGTCAGAGGTTGACATCAGGATGTCTTCCTCAATCCCTCTCCATCTTATTTTTAGAGACAGGTCTCTCATCAATTGGCTAGACTAGCTGGCCAGTGAGCACCACCCCCCAGACCCACTTGTCTCTGCCTCCCGAGCTCTAGAGTTACAGACATACACTGCTCAGCCTTTTACATGATCCAAACCCAGGTCCTCGTGCTTGTGTGGCAAGCACTTACCCACTGAACCACCCTCCCATTCCACATACCACACACTGGAAAGCCCAATGCCAAATTCCAAATATTGACAGCCTTCTTTCAACATGATTCAGTACGTATTTGGCCAGTATAAACTCTTCGTGTGAACCTCCTGTTTTCCATCCTCTGTCTGACTCTAAGCATTGTGGGTCTCCGACCTGCATCTTTCTCTGGAGGGGATCCCTCAGCTGTAACATCCGGGGCTTTGGTGGGTGGTGTGCATTTAGCTTTACAGCCTCTGTGTTAGACATCTCAGCCTGGGTCTTTCCCTTAAGCTTTTCCATCCTTCAGTCTGGTGCCGGTGGCAGCCGCTCTGTCTGGTCTGGTTTTGGTTTCTTCGGTTGGGACCCTGCTGCTTGTTCATTCAGGTGAAGCCCAAGCTACTAGAGCAGCTCCACAGCAGCCTCCTGGAGGTAGAACAGTGATGATTTCATTCCTTTCTAGAACCTTCCCCAACAATGTGAAATTTCATTAGTTTTCTCATTTCTGTCTTCGCTGTGAAAGCACCTTGAGCTGACATGTTTTACATTATTAAAAATAATCCTAATCTCCTTTTCCTAAATGACAAGCGATAGCCCTGGACCCGTCTGTGCGGGCATGCCCCTGCTCCCTTAGCACTGCTCACACTGGAGCTTCACGCTCTGAATTTGCAAAGGTCACACGAAGCTCTTAGCAGTCAGTTCAGCACTGAGGTCCTTGAGAAGCGGGGATGCTCTTTCCCACCCTTTCCCCATCACAGCAAAGAAACGCTAAGACAAATCCTGACATGACGTTTTAGAATAGCTGCTGGAATAGAAGTTTCTCGCAGCATGTTACCAAGTAAGAGACAAAAAGACACTGAAAAGTAGTGTGCACAGTCTCATCTCATAGAAAATGTCTACTCATAAACATGTACATATGAGGGACAAGACAGTCACAAAAATCCTACAGCAGTTCTTCCTGGACAGCACAGCAGGAACCACACGCTGGCATGCTCTGGGGTCCACGGTTGATGTGCGTGTACAGTACCTGTGACAGCCAAAAAAAAGCAACGCAGACACCAGCACCTCGGGTCCTGCTGTGACTCCGTGTCTTTTGAGGGATCCTTTATTCCAACCTCATCATTACTTGTACTTAGGTTTACCTGTGTTGCTTATGCTTTTGATATATGGAACCTCTTCAAAACTGCCCTGAAGACCGGGTGTGGTGGCGCACACCTTTAATCCCAGCACTCAGGAGGCAGAGGCAGGCGGATCTCTGTGAGTTCAAGGCCAGCCTGGTCTACATAACAAGTTCCAGGCCAGCTGGGGCTGCAAGGAGACCCCGTCTCAAACAGAGCAAAAAAACCGAGAACTTCCTTGGAAATCTAAAAATTATACTCACAGGTGGCTTACCTACTGCGTAACAGTGACAGTCCTGCCTGACTTGGGTAGCAGGTGTGCTCCTGTCCCCGCCCGGTTCTTTACTTTTGTAGTGTGTGTGTGTGTGTGTGTGTGTGTGTGTCTGTCTGTCTGTCTGTTTATGTGTGTGCATCTGTGTGTGTGTACGTGTGTATATGTGTGTCTGTCTGTGTCTGTATGTGTCTGTGTGTGTCTGTGTCTGTGTGTGTGTCTATGTCTGTATGTGTATGTGTCTGTGTGTCTATGTCTATGTGTGTGTGTGTGTGTGTGTGTGTTTGTGTGTGTGTCTGTGTCTGTGTGTCTCTCTGTGTGTCGGTATGTGCACATGAGTGCAGGTGCCCATGGAGGCCTGAAGAAGGCATCAGATTCCCTAAAGCTGGAGTTGCAGGTGGTGGTGAACTGCCTGCCTTAGGCTCTGGCAACTTGATTCCGGTCCCGGAAGAGCAGCCAGCACTCTGAACCACCAAGCTGTCTCTCCAGCCCCCACTTTTGTGTTTTAATGATTCCACTTTGCCAGTTTGCTGTGTGGAGAGGTGAGTGTTGCCACACTTCTCTGAGATAATGTGGGGGTTGTCCTTTTGGTGGAGTTTCTGTTCGCTCTCTACCCCCAATATTAGCTTATGGTTACAGATCCATTTTCTGAGCAAGTAGTCAAAGCCAACCACAACATGGGATGTCATCACTTGGAGGATTTCTGGGGTACTTCCCATCCTCCATCCCCTCCCCCACTTTAGACATGCTTCCTTTCCCCAGTGCCTCAGCAAGTCGATGGGCTTCTCTTTTCAGAATGGGTTCCCAAGTGCTTCTATGACAGGAAGCTGTCTTTTCTTCTTATTTGAAACACTTATCTACAAATGCAAGTCCAGTGTTCTGCTAATACTTTTTAACACAGACTTGAAACCCCATGTAGATTGCTACCATTCTCCCACTATCACTCAAAGATGTAAATACTGTGGACCCGAATTATTAGATCTGCAGTTTCTGAAATTAGCCGTGTTTTCAACAAATAGTCTATCTGCTTACAATGGTCTAAGTTAAAACTATAATTAACAGTGGGGTGCACACATGGTGGTGTACGCCTTTAATCCCAGCAGAGGCAGGTGGAAATCAAGGCCAGCCTGGTCTGCATAATGAGTTCCATGTCAGCTGGGGCTACAGGGAGACCCTGTTTCAAAAATACATGATAGATAGATAGATAGATGATAGATAGGTAGATAGATAGATAGATAGATAGATAGAT